TCCCTCCCCCCTTCACACTCTCCCCCCTTCAGTCTCTCCCCCCTTCAGTCTCTCCCCCTTTCCCCCTCCCCCTTTCCTTGCTCCTCTCTCCCCCCCTCCCTTTCCTTCCCCCTTCCTTGCTCCCTCCCCCCTCTATTCATTCCTCTCTTCCCCCTCCCTTTCCCTTTCCCCTCCCTTTCCCTTTCCCCTCCCTTTCCCTTTCCCCTCCCTTTCCCTTTCCCCTCCCTTTCCCTTTCCCTTCCCCCTCCCTCCCCCCTCTGTAACATAGAATCTATGTAAATTTAATTAATTTAATTAATGAATATACTTCAATTTTATTTTTTGTTTTGAAGAGGAATTCTGGATTAACTTAGGTCTGTGGCAGTCCAGTCCAGTCCAGTTTTGTGTTGGGAGAGTCCAGTGGAGTCCAGTCCAGTCCAGTTTTGTGATTTGCAGTCCAGTCCAGTCCAGTCCAGTCCAGTTTTGTGCTTGCAGTCCAGTGGAGTCCAGATTTGTGGATATTGCCAGTATGGAGTGAAGTCCAGTGGAATCCAGTGGAATCCAGTGGAATCCAGTGGAGTCCATGTGGATTATGTGGGGGATGGTAAAGTACTGGATGGCCATAGCAAGTGGGAGTGTCAATCGTGTTGATCATGTCATAAGTCTTGGTCTTCACCAAAAAAAGGGCACACATGGACTTCTGGCTTCATGCCTGGCAGTTGAAGATGGAGTGTACAAGCCGAAAAGCTTTACAGAGGAAGAGGACATGAAGGCACTCCTCCTCTGGAAACTTGCTGGAAATTGTGTGGCTGAAATCAACCATCAAGCTAATGGGGCACAAAGTGTCTCATGCCTTAGAACTCGGTCAACTGTTCCCCCAATTGTCCCCTCCCATGCATGGCCAACAGTGGATGAAGTTCACAGCAATGTAAACGTGATCCTCCAGGGTATACTCGATGTGATGCACCAAAGGATAGGTTCGAGCATCATTCATGCCACTGTTTTTGCTGTCTATAGACCAGTTTCCATCTGCATCGGTTTTAACTGGTTTATGACCGGTCTTTAGGCCAATATTTTAAAATTAAAAATTATGAATCAGTAAATCTATTAACATCTTTATTAGCTTCAAAATGAGCCCAAGAATGTTAAATTCCATTAGGAATTGGTGCTTCTATAAAATAAGTCTTGTACATCTATTATTCCCAAAAGTAATTTACATTTTAATTCATATCTCTCTTGTTTTTTGACCAAATCATACATTCTTGGGTGCATTTTAAAGGGTATTTAAGGGGCTACAAAAGACCAGTCAAAACCAGTCAAGACTGGTTCACATTAACAGGTCTTTTTGCAGTCTTTACATCTCAAAAATAAAAAGACCAAACCACAGGTCCAGTCTGGTTACAGTCTTTTTCCAGTCATGAGACCAGACTTCCGAACACTAACACCTTCTGCCTTTTCCCTCCCTTCCTTTTCCCTCCCACTTTCTTTTCCTTCCCCTTCCTTTTTCTTTGTCCATCTCCCCTCCCTTTTCTCTCCCCCTTCCTTGTGCATCCCTCCTCCTTTTCTCTCCCCTTTCCCTGTGCCTCCCCCCTTCCTTGTGCCTCTCTTTCTCAGAAATTTCATCCTTTCCCACCTCTTTTATCAGCATGTATCAATTTTGCATCACATCTGAAAATAAAGGATCCATTTGCTTTGGCTTTCCTCTTAATCTTACCCATCAGTCTAACCTTTACTACAATTTCACTAACATGAAAATGCTTTCAATATTTCAGCTTTTGTTCACCCTTTACAGGTGTGGTAAAGGCAAAGCAAAGTTCTTGGCCTGGATTTTTAAAAATCCCATGCCTTTCCCAACATGAAATACTTTAAATATAATCAGAATGTTCCTGAAAAGAAAAAGTGTCACACTTTCTCAGGATATTCTAACTGGTAATATTGGGCAATGTTTCTCGTGTGGTGATTGTTGAGAGAGAAAGGTGATGTGACATGTCACATATGAAAACCATGATCAACAAACATATGCACATGATGCATCCAAGCACATGTCCATGGGTCATGTGACTCATCACATGCATCAAGTCTCAGACTAGTCCTGTCTGAAAATCCCAATGGACCCCCACAGGACTGAAAAAATTGGCTGGTACATCAGCCAATACTCAGTCCTGGGACTGTGCAGGAATCCTCAGGAATCTGTGGGGGACAATAAAGACCTCTGGAAAGGCTTTGTTTTCAGTCAGTTACTGAAATTTTCAGATAGTCATCACAATCTTAACATGTATAAGATATCACAGAGGTCAATTGTTACAAAAGTTTTCATAAAGCTATTTGAACAAGTTATTGACTTCTGTGAAGTAAGAGTTTATAATTGGTATATCTTCACTAATTTTTCAAGATTTTCCAACAGACAGTAAGTAATGATCAGGCCACAATGGTGTAGGGTGGTAGTCTCAGCAATGAATATGTCATATACAAACACCACAAGAGACTGAAACTGAAACTGAAACTGAAACTGAGTACATAGAATTTTTGCTTCTCCTTAGTCTCTACATAACTCAATGATGGACATGTAAAAGAAACTATTAGTATAGGAGATGTAGCAACCACTAAGAGGAATAGAAATAGTGAACAAGAAGAAATAAAACAGATAAATACACATACAAAACTTGACAGTTTGCAAAGAAATAGGCTCATTGTAATCTGGATAGCTGTGTCTCTCTCTATATATTTTGAACATGAATATTGAGTAAGTGGTAACAGATAGAAAAAAAGCATACCCTCTAAAAATGGGAGAGTTGTATGACACCAAAGATTCTAATATGGTAGAAAATGTAGTTGACTTGCCCACTATATATTGGAAATAAGTGACCTGGTTAAATAATGTGAAGAAGTACATACTTTCTAACAAAAAGAATGGTTGAAAGAGGAGCTGGAATTGGAAATGGATCAAAGACATACAAGCTACAAAACATGAGCATTCTTCTATAATAAGAAATAAAAACATACAATCTGATTTAGAATAATCATATATCAGAGCGATGGAAATGAGGGTGAATGGACAACCTACAGTCTAAAAAAATGAAGTGAAGAGATGTTATAAAATTGGTCCATGGAATGCTTAAACTTGACTAACCTCCTTAAAAGATATTGATTGAAGATTGATTACCTGATAAAGAATAATGACTGAATAGATACAGATTGAAAAACAAAATGTACAAAATAAAACTTACAAGATATGCAGGAGAGACCACATACTTTCTTAAGAAAAGTCAGGAGAGATAGTGTGATAAGAGTAATTCATGGCCAAAAGCAAAGAAACTCACTGCCTAAAAAGAGGCACCAAAATATGTGTTACCAGAAGAGTGCACATCAAAAACCAGGCCAACTCACATACTGAAACAAGACAGGCCACAGTCAGTCTCACCAGAAGAGTGCACATTAAAAACCAGGCCAACTCACATACTGAAACAAGACAGGCCACAGTCAGTCTCACCAGAAGAGTGCACATTAAAAACCAGGCCAACTCACAGGCTGAAACAAGACAGGCCACAGTCAGTCTCACCAGAAGAGTGCACATTAAAAACCAGGCCAACTCACATCCTGAAACAAGACAGGCCACAGTCAGTCTCACCAGAAGAGTGCACATTAAAAACCAGGCCAACTCACCCTCTGAAACAAGACAGGCCACAGTCAGTCTCACCAGAAGAGTGCACATTAAAAACCAGGCCAACTCACCCACTGAAACAAGACAGGCCACAGTCAGTCTCACCAGAAGAGTGCACATTAAAAACCAGGCCAACTCACATACTGAAACAAGACAGGCCACAGTCAGTCTCACCAGAAGAGTGCACATTAAAAACCAGGCCAACTCACATCCTGAAACAAGACAGGCCACAGTCAGTCTCACCAGAAGAGTGCACATTAAAAACCAGGCCAACTCACCCTCTGAAACAAGACAGGCCACAGTCAGTCTCACCAGAAGAGTGCACATTAAAAACCAGGCCAACTCACACACTGAAACAAGACAGGCCACAGTCAGTCTCACCAGAAGAGTGCACATTAAAAACCAGGCCAACTCACATGCTGAAACAAGACAGGCCACAGTCAGTCTCACCAGAAGAGTGCACATTAAAAACCAGGCCAACTCACATCCTGAAACAAGACAGGCCACAGTCAGTCTCACCAGAAGAGTGCACATTAAAAACCAGGCCAACTCACATGCTGAAACAAGACAGGCCACAGTCAGTCTCACCAGAAGAGTGCACATTAAAAACCAGGCCAACTCACATCCTGAAACAAGACAGGCCACAGTCAGTCT